CCTGCAGATAAGGATCTTAAAGTATGTTTTATGGCTATTACTAATATACAGGAAAGCATTGGTTTTGTGTACATTTGGTAACAGCTTACTTTACTGAATATTAATCTACTTATTTTCAGTTTTGGTTTTTTAAATGAATTTCTTCTGGTCATTTACAAAAGAAAAATAAAGAGGAGGAATATGTGGTTTTATTTCTTCTTTTACTGTACTTATGCTTTGATTTCTCGTTCTGGAATGCCACAAGGATCATATATATCTTAGTATTTTCATTTCTTTTCTCCTAAGATCTTGGAGATATTCTTGGGTTTATCTTCACAGCCTCTGATTTAATTTCCTGTGACACATAATATGTGGTTCACTGTTCGTTTTGGATTTTGACATTCAACAGTTGGTGTCTTATCTCTGGACTTCTGTGGACAGTTGCTTGTGGTTCCCAGTGGTGACAACTGGCGATCTTCCTGGAGAGGTTTATTTTGGCTCACGGTTTTAAGATTCAGTCCATAGTTGGCTGACTTCAAGGCAGGAAGAGTGGGGTGGACGGGCTGGCAGAACACAGCGGCTTGCTCCATGGCTGCTAGGAAGCAGAGGGGGAGGGAAGGAAGGAAACAGCAATGTGTGCGCGTCTGTCCAGGGCGCTTCCCCAGAGGGCTGCCTCCAGCCAGGCCGCACCTCCTAACAGCAAATTCAGCTGCTGGACTCATGAATGCCTGAGTCCACTGGTAAGTATAGCACCCAATGATCCCAAGATGTCACCTTCCACACATATGGGACTATGAGAGGAGATTTTACATGGAACACTAACTACGGCTGTCCTCCTCTCGGCCACTTCCTCTCCACATCTCTTGAATTCCCAAGTTGCATCCCGGCCTTCCTTCAGTTCTTACTCCGCAAGTTCCCCTGAATGATTCCATCCACCACCCCCGTCCACTGCCCACCTGACAACTTCATCCCTCCATTACTCCAGGCAAAGGACATCTTGCCTGTGTGTTCAGCACAGCCGCGTCCTGTGCCCGCCCTGTTATTCCTGATGTTCATGGTACTCTGTACCACCAGCCACCAAAGACAGAAGCCTGGGGCACCCGAATCCCCCTCTCCCACATTCGCCCTATCAAGTCCCCTTGTGCTTTTGAGTCTCAGTATATATCTCTCCTTTCTTTTTACTATGATTGCTATTTGAGTTGAAGTCTTCCTGATCTGTCTTTGGAGCGCTACAATCCTCTTTTTTCTCTCTGCTTTTGTCTTACTCCATTCTTATCATGTATCCTCCCATAGTGCACAATCATGTCAATTGTCTATTCAAACCATTTCAGTAAGTCCTGCTGCAAAATAAATCCTACACGACCTATGAAATAAAGGGCTTCCTAGTATGTTGTCCCTGTGCCCTTTTCAGCTTGTCCCCTACCACTTCTTTCCAGATAGCCCTACATCCTGGCCATTCCCTACACACCCCTGGACCTTTGCACATGGTGGCCCCTTTGCCTATAGAAAACTTTTTCTGATCTTTTATATGCTCACTGTTTAAGACCCAGCGCCAAAGATGGCCCTGTGAAGCCTTCTTTGGTTCCTGGGGAAGGAAGACTGAGGTTCCCTCTTGGTTCCTCAGCATTTGATAGATGCTCCTGTTCCTGAGCACGTGGAATGCCACAGAAGGACTGCGCATCCATCCAGGCCAAGAGGAGTGCCAGGACTCCTGTCCATCTTTCTCTCTTCCCCTTCTACTCTCCTCTCTTCCATCATTCTCATAAGTTTCCATCACCTCCATGTTAAACCTAATGACTGCTTATGCTATGCCTGTACTTGAACAGTTAAACATCATTCAGCCATGGGATGTAATATTGCTGTCAGAATTAAAGTCTGGGGTGGCAGTGAGATAGCTCAGCAGACTAAAGCACCTGCTTAGGCAAGATTAGACAAGCGCAGGAACCATGATTTGGTCCCTGGTACCACATGCTATGCCAGCCCTGCCCCCAGGGTGGGTTGAGCCAGCCACTAAGTCCAGGCATAGTGGCGCACACCTCTAATCCCAGCTCTGGAGAGGCTGAAAACAGGATCACTATAAGTCCAAGCTGCATAGTGAGACCTTGTAACCACCAAATATATTTTTTAAAAAAATGTCTGGGGTGCCTGCCGCTCAAAGGTCAATAGTCAGGAGACAGGGTTTGTAGGAAAGATTCAAGGATGGCCTTGAAGATGAGATCCTTCATCTCAAAGCTCTATCTTGGGAGGCAAGGAGTTTTATAAAGAGGGAAAGGAGGCATAGGGCATGAAGGCTACATGCCGAACAGGACCTTCGTCATCCTGAGATGTGACTCCTGCCTTTCTCTCTGTCTAGAACATCATAATGAACCTTAACTTCTTTTTTTTTTTTAAGAATTCAATTTCATGGGTTTTTAAAAAATCATTTATTTATTAATTTATTTGGTAGAGTGTCTCACTACACTGCTTGGACTCATAGTGATCTTCCCATCTCAGTCTCCCCAGCACTGGGATTATAGGTGCGCACCACCATGCCTGGTTTCAGTGGCCCCCTTGCATGGGCCGGCACAGCATGTGGTTTTGGGGATTGAACCCAGGTCCTCCGGCTTGCCAGACAGGCACCTAGACTGCTGAGCTATCTCCCTGGCTTGAACTTCAACTTCTTGCAGCTCATTTCTATGTTCTAAACTCCATAGTAACTTACAGAACTAAAGAGTAAAGAAGGGAGTTACAAAGGTTATTAGATGTCCTGAAAATCTGAAGTTTCTGTTCTGATGTTCTCATTCTGAAACTCTGAATTTCTGTAACTCTAAATTCACTTAGCAGTCAATAGCTCTACTATTTGGTGGGACTTCTTTTTAGAATTTAGAATTCCAGGCAAAAGGGAGGGACATAAACATACCTGGCAAAAGGATTAGGGTTGAGAGGGCAAAGGAAGGGGAAGCAGAAGCAACTGCCAAGGATAACCTCCTGAAGGCACACCCTTGTAACCCAGAAGCCTGATTAGAGTATATTCCTGTTCCCATTTTTTTCACAGCTGTTTTGTGCCTCCTTTTCTGTCCCACAATTTCCCATGGTCCCCCTTTCCCAATAGCCTAGCCTCTGATTCACAGGAAAACAGAAGCAATTCAAGGACCACATCCCCATTCCTCACCACACCTTCTGGTTCTCTTGCATCTGAATCTGCATCCCCTGCTCCTACCTAAGACCACCCAAGGCCTCTGCGTTTGCCCAGACACCTGTCCCCTTCCATCTTCCCAGAGCTGTGCCTTTTCCCCTCCTTCCATCTGGACCTACTTTTCTCCTAGATCATTTCCACTTGGCTTACAGACATTCCTATCATCCATCTCTTTAAAAAGAAAAAAAGGCACCTCCAGACTTCCTTCCTTGCTAATTATGGCCCCTGGCTCCTTGTCTCTCTCCTCTGTCTTCACACCAGGACTCCCTCTTCGTTATCATCTTTAGTATCAATCTCCAGTCCCTCATCTCCCTTCTCATCTCCGCCTCTTCCAACCAAGGGTCAGTCGTCTCTGCTCCACTGACTGGAACTGGTCTTTCTGAGATAGCAGGCATCTTCAAGTTGTTGGGTCACATTGTCGTACCCATGTCCCCATCTTAGCACTAGACGTGGGAGACCATATTATCCTTGCAATGTCTTCTGTCTTGTTTCCCATACCTGCTCTGCAGGTGCACCCGCCTCATCTCCTCGGCCAGATTCCCCTCTCTTCTTCATGTTAGCCTGTCCTGGTGTTTGGGCCAGAACCCTCTTTTCTTCTCCATATCTATATCATTTGTGAATAAACTCATTCATTGTTCTTTAGAATTAAAGATTATTTTTACTTCAGTGACCCCCACCTTTGTGCATCTGGTCCTCATGATATCTACCCAGATCTCTGGCTCTTTCTGGTGGCATTTCTAGTTTGAAAGACCTGAAGCAGCACATTCAATGTCCCCCTCCAAACTATCTCCTCTCCAAGTCTTCTCTGTGTCATTCAATGACCTAGTTGCTCAAGACACAAACCAAAAGTCATCCTTGATTTTTCTGTCTCCAACTTCCTCTTACTGCCCTATCTTCCAACCTGCTAGCAAACTCTGTTAACTCTACCTGGAAGTGTTTCCCACATCCACCTATTTGTTTCTGTCATTGCTGTCACTCACGCCCAAGTCACCCTTACTGCACTGCTGTGAAGTCCTAACATTCTGCTGTTGTCTTTTGCCAACTATTCATACCCCCCCCCCAAAGCCAAAGCAGTTTTCCAGAACTGCAAACCAAGACACACCCGTCCTGCCGAAAGCCCGCTAGTGCTTCTGTCATTGCACTTAGGATCAACTCCCACCCTTTGCTTGGGCCTATGAAGCCCTCTGTGTCTGGCACCTATCACCTCCCATGGCACCCTATTCCTCTAAGCCCCTCTCCCTCTCATCGCCTCCCCCATTTCACTTTCATCTGAGCCCAGATCGCAACTGGACACAACTTCTAACTTTATTTTTATTATCTGAGTATAACATAAAAGCTTCCTGAAAGTATGATTTTTACTGTCTTCTGTTCTGTTGACTTTCTGGCATCTGGAATAGGCTCTGGTACGTCACACATGTTCAGCTAATAAATATTGAAGGGTGAATGGATCCTGGCGGGGCTGATACAGAGCACATGCCCATTTATTTACTGAATTAGTGGCTGAGTCCCCCCAGGCATACTAGATGCTCCTAGAGGGCAGATGCCCTTTGCAGGTTTGTTCATTCCCATCCTAGCAGCTAGCATGGTGCCGGAGACCTCTGGGTGCTTAAGAAATATGCCTTGGGCTTATTGCTTCATCAAGGGGAGGCCAAGAGTCTTGCTATCTATTGCACAGACTTTATTTCTCTGAGAGTAAATGTGTGACATGAGATGACTACCGTGAGAAAAAAGACAGGCTGTGTCGGAAAAGATAGGGCTGAAATATTCTCAGCCAGAATAGAGGTAAAGAAGAGGCTTCAAAATTCTGGCTGTGATGCTAAGTTGCTTTCTGGTGCATGTTTTACAGGATGAAAAGTACATCCTGGTGATGGTGGACCCGGATGCCCCCAGCAGGTACAACCCCAGAGCAAGATTCTGGAGACACTGGCTGGTGACGGACATCCAGGTAGGCGGACCCATCGATCCCTCTGACTCATGTGATGTGGTGGCTGGAAGGTGATCATTCTGTGCCATCCCAGCTGTCACTCCTGAGGCCCAGAGACCTGGGTAGGCAAGGACTTCTGTGTCAGATGGCCCCTGGCACTTAGCTGTCACTGCTCCTCCAAAGTGAAATCTAACACTTTCAAAAAATGTCCTAGGACCCGTAGTGGGTGCACTGTTCATTCAGCTCCCAGGAGGAGAGAAAAAGAAAGTCCTGCTGCTTAGCATTCGTGGACTGGTGAGTCCAGGCACGGCTTCCACCGTCGGCTTCAAAGTCATAGCGAATTGAGAACTGGCTTACAAAAGTCTAAAAGAGTGACAGGTGGCACCAGCACACCACTAGGTTGGGGGCTGTGCGACTGTGTAGTCCAGGGAGCTGCATGGGCCAGGGCTGTCCTGCTGCGGAGAGGGGCATGGAGGCAGCTTGCTGAATTTCCTTTCTTGATACAAGAACACGCAGCCACTCTCACAGTTGCTTCCTGATAGTTACAAAGCTCACTCTTCTCAGACCAGGGCCCGCAAACGCCAATTTGGTGGGTTTGGGGGGCATCGAGGTGGGGGAAGCAGCACTATGACAAACAAGTCTCTGAGGTTCCAGGTTAAACTGAATCGCTCTCATTCTTCACTCGGTGGTCTTCCAAGATTTAACTGTCCTTAAGACATACTATGGGGGCTGGAGAGATGGCTCAGTGGTCTAAAGCACCTACTTGAAACAAGCTTGGCAAAGCACAGGGACCGCGGTTCAATCCCCCAGCACCACATGCCAGCCAGCCCCGCCCCCTGGTGGGCTGAGCTGGCCACACACACACACACACACACACAAAATAAATAAATAAATAAATAAATGTAATAAATAAATATTTTTTTTTTAAAAAAAGACATACTATGATCATCCGTGGGCATTGTCAGGGCACTGTGGGTTCCAGGACTCCCCCAAGATACCCAAATCCACTAGGGCTCAAGTTCCTTACCTAAAACAGTGTAGCATTTGCTTAGAGCCTACACACAGCCTCCCAAATACTTCACACTGTCTCTGAATGAGTAATGACTAAACTGTCTCTGGATTATCAATACCTGATACGGTGTAAGCTCTAGGTAAATAGTTGTTATACTGCATTGTTTAAGGAATAATGACAAGGGGGAAAGTCTGTGTGTGTTCAGTACAGATACAATTTGTATGTTCTTCAATCTGTAATTGGTTGAATCCAAGGATTAGTAACTCACAGAGACAGAGCACGAGTTGTATAAAATGTGCATTTATTTCTCAACCTCATTCAACTATGGAATCTTTCGTTCATGAGCACCTGACAATGTACTTTGGGGAAACCCCCATGAGCCTGCAATACTCATGAATCTGTGCCTAGAAAGCCTGCAGATGGCTTTTGCAATGAAAGAGTGCAAAGCCTCTACCCCAAAGGCACTGAGAACCCAGAATGAAAAAAGCTAAGTTAGGATCTGGCTTGGGCTACAGTTGGTCATCCAGTCGCTGACCTCTAGCACTCCCTGAGTATTTTGCTTTTATCCATAATATGCACACCATGCTGCCTCTTTCATGTGGTCCCAGCTATTCTCCAACTAAACAGCCCACTGAGGATACTCTGGAAAGTGTGGAGAAAACCCTAGGCCCAAGGGCTGTGTCTTCCCTACCAGCTATATGAGTGGACAAAGGGTGTCAGTATAACTAGTGGGGATGCCCATACCAAAGTGGGGATGGGGAGGGAGTGTTGCCCTGGCAACCCATCCTTGGCCCCTGACCAGGACCTTTCCCAGGAAGCTCTGGGAAGGGAAACAGCCCTCCTGTCAGTACACTGGTTGGGACTGATGGCCTCACTCAAGGAAGGCTCCTGGAGCAGCATCTTGGATGGCACCTGAGCCAGTTTTGGGCTCCTCCCTCTCTTCCCTGACCCCCACCTCTCTGCTGGGGAGGGGCTTTGAAACCATGTAAAGGGCAGAGGTGGGGAAAGTGACACTATTTAGCAGGGAGGGGAGTGGACAGCACACAAGGCCTCACTCTCCCTGGCTAGACCACTGTGGTCTTCTGGGTGAATCTTACAAGTGTGGAAGGCTCGAGGGAGGGCTGCTGCTTAAAGGCCACATTCCCAGCCTTACCTGCACACACAAGGCTTCTGGCAAGAGTCCCCTCAGCCATTCTGAGGCCAGAGGGCAAGAGCAGCTGAGCACAGATGGTTCTAGGTGAAGGGACCTCGGACTCTGACGCTGCCTGTCTTCAGATCACACAGCCCCCACTCCCACCCCACCCACCACTCCCTCCAGTACCCACTCAGGACACCCCCCTCACACCTGCTTTGTATGCAAACATGGGCTTCACCCCAGCAGCCCAGCTGAAAGACCGAGCAGGTGGCAGGTGACAGGTGGCAGCTGTTGAGCAAGACTGCTGAGCTGCTGAGCTTAACCAGGGCCACCTGCCTGGGTACAGCCCTCACCTTCCCACTCCAAAGGGAGGATGTTTGGTTGTCAGTCGTGCTTTCACCCACTCTCTCTGTCAGGGTGCTCAGTAGGAAGCAGCAGCTCTTCTTACTATGTCCCCTTGGCCCCGCTACCAGCCCCAAGTTCCGCCAACTACAAAAGCGGTATAAGCCACTGAGTTCAGATCTCAGGTCCTGGGCCTCAGCCAAAGGAAGACAGGGCTTGAGTCAAACTCTGGGAAATTTCCTCTACATTGATGCTCACTGAAGCCAAGTGGTCTGTCTTAGTTACTGTCCATATCACTGGACATAATATACAATAACCACAACTTTTGTTTTTTGACACAAGGTCTCACTATGTAGTCCAGGCTGGCCTTGAACTCTCTGTGTATCCCAAGCTATCCTAGAGTTCCCCATAACCCTCCCATCTCAACCTCTCAAACACTGGGGTTATAGGCATAGGCCACCATAACAAGGTCTCACACAGGACAGTGTCCAGCTGGTGAGCCTGGCAGAATGCAGATTCCCAGACGCCCTGCCTTCCCTACAGTCTATCTGGAGAGAACATGGTGCTGTGTTGGGCAAGCAGCCGGGAGGTGCAGCGGCTGGGAGGAAGGCTGTAGCGCAGTGCCGGATGCCTCTGTGGTCAGCAGCAGTATCTGTCTGTGAAGCCATTGTCAAGGGAAAAGCCCCTTAGAAACTTCCTCTGCTCACCATCACTTTGGGACTAGCATGACCCACTTGATAGCTGGGAGGAGCTAGTAGGCAGTACAGGTGGGGCTTCCAAACACCCTAGCTAGGCCACACAGTGTGGGAGTCACACTGAACCTCCCTCATCAGCTCCACTGTGGAAGAGGCCACCATGCACCCCTCCCATAAGATAGAAACCCCCCAGCCCACTCCCAAGGCTCTATCTCCATCCACCCTTGGTGGGCAGGGTCTTCCAAGATCCCTCCCCAGGGAAGTTTTGATCATTAAAGTACCTGGTCAGCACTTTGAACTTCATAGAACCACACCCAACAAACCATCATTACCCAGGCATCCTCAGAAGTAAAGCCCACTGCCACATCACTGCAGACATAGAATGACAATGGCCCTGCCATTCTCACAGGCCACAGTGACAATCTTGGTGGAACCCAAGCTGGCCCTGATATTAGGTCAGGTCCGATTCAGTGGTAGACTAGGCCATGGCTATGGGAGCCCCTCAGTATGAAAAATGTTTGAAAAGTCTACGTAGGCTGAAAGGAAAGCAAGTACGAAGGTCTTAGGAAATCAGGAACAATCTGGAGCCTCCTCCCACCCCCAAAGACAGACCTGCAAGGTCTGACTAGTAAAGACTCTAGACCTGAAGGAGACTTCAATTAAAGTAGGAGTCAGGGAGCTGCCAAGCAGTAGGGGCCAGGCATTCATAGTATCTTTCATTTATTTAATTCGATCAGTATACTTGAGCAGTGTGGCTCAGGCCCCAGCTCCACTATTATGAATGGTGTGACATTGGGCTAGTTGCTCAACCTCTCTGTCTCCACGGACATGAAGTGGTGATTCTGAGAGTCTCTGCCTCACACTGTAGGAGCGCAGCTAACTGAATTCTTTTACGTTAAGTGCCCAGAGCCAGACCCAGAGCACACAGTCAGCTCTACAAGCTGCTGATGCTTTATTGTTACTGTTCTAAGTCCAGGAACTCCAGAGTTCTGGCATCACAGTGCGAACCAAATGAAGGAAGGTGCTGCTCAGCACACAGCTCCAAGGTGTGGAGAGGGCCCGGGGCAAGCTGGATGCAGATCGTTCTTAAACCCATGGGTTTCCATGGGCTCAGGAGCAGAACTAGGCACCAGTCCCCAAATCCAGCCGGACAGGACAAACAGAGACTGAGTTTTTTGTGTCCTTCTTGGCCTTCTTTGGAGCTCTCTCACTGAGCGGAAGAGATTTCTACCAGAGAAGGGACAGGGAGCATCTTTCTCCCATAGTGCTGTGTCCCCAGCATTTCCTTAAAGATACTTTTCAGTTCAGATTCAATCGAAATAATAATCTTCATGCTGAAGCCTAATTAAGATATCAATTAATTTGCATCATTCATTTGAGAAGCAGCACTTACTGGTTCCCCTTCTATTTGTCTCTGAAATTAGTGCTCAGGGCTTTTCATACAGATATTTTCATTAGACTTTTTATTGTTAATGGGAATATTGAACACAGCAAGGTGGTGCATTAATACTTTCCACAAAGAATATCATGACTGGTGACAAAGAATGCGAAGAACAATTAAGAAGACAAGAGTACCTTTTTTTCTTCCAAAAAAGAAAAATCTTCCTAGAAACCGTCAATGATTCTAAAATTTGCCCCTGAATATCTTTTTTGTTTTAAGAAAGAAAAGGAACCAGCAAGTTCATGTTTCCCTTCCATTCAGTGCCCTCAACCTTTGGCAGCTATAAATGCAACCATTTTTGGGTTGAATTAAAAGGACCTCTAAGGGGGTCATTATTCTGTCTACTTTTCTATAGGGTTGAATTTTTCTATAATTAGAGTTTTTTTTATTTTTAAA